TGTCCAGTGCAGTTGAATATATCCACACTGGTTTTTAGTCACGAGGTCACAAAATAGAAAATTTATTAATTTTTATTTCTCAAGGGTTCTTGGTTCAGAAATTCGTTGACGGTCCCTAAGTGAACTGTCGCTGGTTGGGTGGCGATGCAGCCGAGAGGAGCGAGCCGAAGTCTGAGTCCCTAAATCGGATAAACTATGAGCAAGACGCCGCTGACTACGCTAGCTTAGAATTAGCCATTTTTTAAAGACTCAAATAAATTGTCTTTACATTCACAAAGTTCTTGAAAGATCGATATTTCGGACCCGGCCAATCTTCAATTCTCATCCGGGTGACTGTCTCTTTAAAATTCAGTGTTCTGGACGTTAAAATCGCTTTTCTTGACGGTCCCGCAACTTTTTTGACTGCTAACTCTGCCATCTTGATCTCCCCCCCTAGTGTGTACTTGCTGTCTTCCCTATCCCAACAAAGCTTCTAAAACACGCCCGGAATGATTTCAGCGTAACCACAGGAAGTTCTACTTACTGGTTCCGGTGTGGATTTACCGATAAAATAAACTTTTCACGGCAAAACAGCTAAGGTAAGAGACATTATATAACTACAGTTTAATGAAGCGGTTTCGGTTTTTGCTGTTCTTTTGGTTGTTTCTTGATGCTTTGGTTTTAGAGAGCTTTGATGGATATATTTAGAATCTGGGGACTCTCTGCTTCATTTTGAGAGGTAGGTTCTGCGTCTTTCATAACGTACAGTAGCGACAGAGCCAGGAATGTGACGAGTGGGTTGACGTGGTGGCGCTATATCGATGTCCATATTTGATAATTCATTTAGTTGGTGTTTGAGTTGTGTTTGAGGCATGTAGAAATGGCTTATATATTCTTGTAGCCCAGGTTCTGCTGTTTAATTTGATGTATAACATCACGATATTCTTTCATGATGAGTGCATTGTTTCACACTATTTCTTTGTGTAAAACCCACTTAAGGGGTTAAATATGTGGGGTGAGATCGACCCTCCCGTTAAATCACCACCGAGTCCCCGTGAGAGTAAAGACAAGAGCAAGTTGCCAGAAGCACCAGAGGTACAGTCGCAGAAATGGGAGTTTGACAGACCCAGAGAGACCCAGCAGCCGCTGCAGGACTTCCAGGTGAGATCAGTAGCATTTTCTCAGTTCCATGTGGGTGCAATACACGTATCTGCGCATTGCAGTCAGATGTTGTCTGTCAGTGTTATCATTATACTGATTGTATTTCTGATTTTTATACAGTGTGTGAGTCGGGCCGAGTCTATCTGTGTCAATGCCATGATAGAGGCTGTAGCCATGAGTGGGAGTCTGGTGAAGAGCCAGCAGATGGGAGAGGCTGAACTCACTGTGAATGAGCGCAAAGAGGAGCTGCTGTATCAGTACAGGAGCAGACCCCTGGTGTTCCTGGAGAGGTACCATGTATGTGTATACCGCTTAATATATGTGTTTATTTACCCAAACATTTGTGTCAACATGTTCTGGGGTCTTAAGTGGCCAGTGGATGCATCAAAACATACACTCAGAGAGCATTCATTGATAAATGAAAGGTCTGAGAAGGTCTTTGGTTACTTGTGTACTACAATCAATAGGTCAGTGATGTCATTTATATTAAAAAACCAACTATGGTGAAGTGTTTTTTTCACCTTGTTAACATGTCTATATCTTGCTTGTCTATATGTTGGAAGATACATCATTTAAAGCATTTTAAGGTAGGAAGGGACTATTTCATAGAAAAAACACTTATAAGTGTGGAACTTTGATACACAAAGGTGTTTGTTATTTTTTTCTTATCTTTCTGCTATGTGCTGCCTTTCAGCTTCTGTCTGAGATGCAGGCAATTTAAAGAAAAACACTAACATGGTTTAGTCCAAATTTACTCATGAACTAGGTTTAACTCTTGCCCATTAAAATGTTCTGCATTTTCAGGAATATCAATAACCTCCTTATGTTGTAGCCCAGTGTACAGGTGGAGACAGTCTCAGTGGCAAATTTACCACTCAGTGTTGTCATATTTAGTCCATAGGAAGCATAGGAATGGTTTAGTTAGTTAGTGAATGCGTATTTGAAAACTGTCTCCATATAGATGGACCAGCATTACACCATCATTTGGCAAAGAAACAAAGAATATTGGCATATTTGTTGTGCTATTTACTCTCCCCGTTCTCAGGCCTGCTTAAAGCCCCAACACCTGTCAGCGTTTGCTCACGTCAGCTCAGACCCACGAACCCAGCACTACAGCAAGGTGATACAGAGACGAGCCACAGGACACACCAACAGGACCAGAGTCAGAAACAAGCGCTATGCTGCCCTCAGGGCTCTGCAGAAGGGTAGGGGCTCCATTTTTTTAATAGCTACCAGGAATCTATAGATTTATACTGCAAATCACTTTCCTAAACAGCACTGCTGGGCAACAATGTTCCAGCAAAGTTTTTTAATCTGGCTTTTAGCTGATTTTGGTTTTGTTCTTTTAGCCTTTCTTTTAGTCTACTCCTTTAATCTTATGTATTTAAGTCCACTTTAGTCTCAGAGTTACTATTTTATGTTTTAATACTTTTCATTTATTTTCTTTTATAGTTTGGTTTTAAACAGTTTTTTTTTTTATTTTATTCAACTTTTTGCATTTTGTGAGTTTTGTATATCTTATGATTTTATCATTTTAGTTTTTTCTCCTGTGTTTCCCCATTTTAATTCAAGATAGCATTTCCTTGGTCCTCTGTGGCTCCCTGTAGAGACCTGACTTGGTGTCCCTGTGTGTGTGTGTGTGTGTGTGTGTGTGTGTGTGTGTGTGTGTGTGTGTGTGTGTGCGTGTGTGTGTGAGTGGCATTCTGTGTTAAATATGGGCTG